TATCGTGAGTGGTATCACCGCGTTCAGCGGGTGACGATTGACTCGAGAACGTGGAGGCGGAGTGGTGCGGCAATTAATTGCCGAGAAATTAACGTTAAAAGTGGATCACGCTGCTACGTGCCTTGTCACGACGACAAGATGGCCGGCCCCCCCCACTCTCTTGCCTCCGCATGACGGGACTTTATCTAATCTGTGAGGGAAATAGCCCTTTTTAGGGCTCTAAAAAGGAATCAGTGCGCTCTGCAGCGATTCTCCGGTGGTCATTGATGCGTGCGTGCGCCGGAGAGATGCTGGCCAGCGACGGAATTAGAGGACTTTTCATGAGGGACGGTTGACGGTCAGCACAAAGGACTGGCGCTGTGTCGGCCATTTTGAGTGACGGGCCAAGTATTACGCGGCCCGAGATATCTTCTGGCGGATGAACAGTAATTCGGTTAGTACTTAAGGTTGTATGTGTACTTCGTTCTGTTCGTGGCTTTGTAAATTAGGCTTAAGGTTTTGCGCGCGTTCGCGTGTGTGGTGGTGCGGCTGCTTCGGCAGTGCCGCCATTTTGCGCCGACAGCGGACATCGTCCGCTGGGATTTCTTCCCGGTCTTCGTTGCCCGACGACCGGGCACTATTTCCTGGCGGCGGAGGGATACGCGGCGGCGCCGTGATCGGCGGTGACGCCGCCATTGTGTCGACCGCGTGCTCTGTGCGCGGAGTTTTCGCGGTGGATCGTGTCGAGAATTGCGGTTTATACAGTCGCGGTGCCCTTCTGGGCCTGTTTAAGGGACGCCTTTACGTCGTTGTGTGTGCCGCGGTCGGGTGGTTGGTGGTCGTCGTGCACCGTGTGCCTTGGCCCCGTGCGGCGTGCTCGTGCTCGTCTTCGGGACGGGCTACGTAGTGTAGCGTCTTTTGCGCGGGTGACGGGCGATCCCGCGCTTTCTTCAAAGCCGTGGTGATTCGCGGTGTCGTGCTGGCCGCGGGGTGCGGTGGCCGCTGGCCGCTCGTGTCCGTCGGCGCGGCAGTTTTGCGCGTCTTTGTGCGTGACATAACGCCGCTTTAGCGGCGGCTGAGGGAATGCATTGCGTTGACGCGGACTTGTGAATGCACCTTTACGCGGGTGCGATATATAGAGTGTAGCGTCACCGTGGGCAGCGTGCCCTGGCCTTCGGCCTCTTGGTCGGGTTAGAGGTTAGGGGCGCCGTCGCCGACGACGGTTTGAGGCGGTGGCGAGCGTGCTGCGACGCCATATTGCAGTGACGCGTGGCGCATCCGACTCCCGGTGCACGTGTCGTCGGAAGTCGTGACGGATTACCGCGGTCGCCCGGGGCGGTCGGGCTCGGGGCGGGACTGCGTGTCGGTGTGTTGTGTGCGTGTATGTGTGGGCGAGCTGCCCGTTTATGTATAGAGTCGCGAAATGTGACGTTTAGTGTGGGCACTCTCGGCCGGTTTTTTTTTGCGCGAAATCGGGAGTTTTTTACGACTTCAAACGTCGGGGGTGGATCTGCGGGAGGTGGTGGTCGCGACCACATGCTTGGATTTGACATTAAAAATCCAACTGCGGCTAACTTTTTCCCTAGGTGATGTGAACGCGGCGGTAGGGCGCGGCAGTAGAGTCACCATATTGTCGTTCGCGCCGTGACGTGTCGGATCGCCTCCTCGTTCGGCGTCCTCTGCGGGGAGTGCGTGGCCCTCCGGGGGTCCGCGAGTGCAGGGGGGTGTTCCGCGAGGTGTGCTAGAGCCGGGACATTGGTGGCGGCGATCGGCGGGGTCGCCTTGAGCCGCAGCAAGTGTCGGAGGTGGCGCGTCGGACTCGTGCCTTGGAGCTGCGGGGGGCCTCGTGCCGGGGCTCAACGAGTGTGCTGGAGGCTGGGGTCGGCCTCTCCGTGCGCGGGGTGCTCGGGCGTGGTCGTGCGTGCGCGGGCGATCCCCAGGTGACGTGCGGATCGTGGGCGTCGTGTCCGGCGCGGTTCCTGACGTGCGGAGTTTCGCCGCGTGGGTGAGGGTGCGCGGGGCGAGGGGCGGGTGTCGGCTTTTGTCGCCGTCGAGTGCTCCGCGCTGTTTTTTGTATGCCGGTTGTGCCTTTTAGTGTTGTGCACGTCTTGAGAGGTTGCCGGTCGCGGGCATATGTTGCGGGCCGTAGGGCCGGTTTACATGTGACGGCGAGTGTTCGGGCGCGTTCGTATTCCGGGTGAATACTATGCTCGGGGCTCGGGGAACGTAGACATCGTTCCCGTCGGCGGGATTAGTGCGCGCCATAGTCTTGGCGATCGCGGTGGCGCTCGTGGTCGTGGCGGCGCTCGCGATCGTGAAGGCGTGCGCGATTGGTCGGTGTTCTTGCGCGGGTGGCGCTCTGAGGTGGCGCGCGGGCTGCGCGATACTTTGTCGGGACGTTGTTGCGCGGCGCTGTCGCGCGGCTGCTGTGTCATTTCGAGTCGGGATTTCGAGTCGCATACTGATCTCGAATAAGACTATAGGACGGTAGCACCGTGTGCTTCGGGCGGTGATCGCGCGTTTGATACATCGGGAGCCGCGCGGTGTTCATGCTCGGTTACTCGCGGGGTGTGCTCGTGTAACGTAGAGGGAATGTGACTGTATATATTGTATATAGATTGTATAATATTGTGTCGTAATTAGTGACGGGCGAAGGTAAGGTTATCTGCCCGTCATTAACTTGTCTGTTTCAGATTGACGGGTGCGCTTGCCTTTATCAAGGCACGCACGGGGAAAAATAAATTGCTGCCCTGCCTCGTTTTACGACAGCGGAGGAACGCTTTGTATATATATACATATATTTTATTGTGTTTCCTGCCCTCTTTCTTTCAGGAAAGTGACCGGGCGTCGCGAGTGCGGGGGGCAGTTTGTTTCGCGTGTGAGATGGTCGTGACGGTCTGACGGTTGAGGTTAGGCGCGTCGCGACTCGAGAGGAGGGCCGAGGGCTAGATGCTCGTGACGGGTTGAAGTTCGCGACGTGTTGAGGTTAGGCGCGTCGCGACTTACGTTCGGGGAGGGCTTAAGTAGAGTCTCCGTATGTCGAGATGGACCGGACTTGTCTTTGAGGTTAGAGTCGCGCTCGACTGACAGCGAGGGCGGAGCGGTCGGCTGCGACCGGGCTGTGTTCTTCCGGCCTGTGCTTCGAGCACCCGGACGTTGTTTGGGGTAGCTTTGAGCTAATAGTGGCGGGGCTAGAGAATCGCGCTCTGAATGTGGATGGTGCCTCTCGCGTCGCTCGCTGCTTTGTGGGATAAACGGTGTCGGTACATTCACGGCAGCTTTGAGGTTAGATAGTGAAATAGCTTCATGTCGAGGGAATCGCGGTCGAGGTTAGGTTCTCCCGCACTACGACAGTAAGACGCATAACAGCGTTGACGGATACGACAGGCGGGGTGGTGTCCCCCTGTCAAGCGTAATAAATGGGTAGTTCGCGGTGACGGACAATCGGCCCGATCATTTTATATGAAGATTTGTTGCCGCGATCTTGTTCTGCGCGGCCGACGGACTCGGGTGGTCCGGCGGATGTCTCAGTCGTGTAGATGTGTCGTGTAGCGTGTAAGATACGCAATAGACTCGAGCGCGTACTATATAGTGTATAGACGTGTTGTATTTGTCGGATGGCGGGCTTGAGCTGGTTTAAGGCAACGGACGATCGGCTTGCCACTCAGGTTCTGCACTCGGTCCGTTCTTTTCGGCCGAGGATCTCGTGTGGAGAGACGGTCATATCCGTCGCGTAGGGCGTCGCGAAATACCCGAGAATATGGGATAGACTTGCGTGCGGATTCTGACAGGCGGGGCGTTGTCCTCTGTCAAAAGTAATATTGAAGCGGTTATAGTAGCGGACAATCGGTCTGATCGCTCTAGATAGGATTAGCTAACGCGGTCTGTTTTTCCGTGACCGACGGGCGCGGGCGATAAGACGGATATATCCGCCGTGTAGATCTGGTGCGGAGTACGCGCAACAGGCTCGGGCGCGTAATATACATAGACGTGCTATTCTTGTCGGATGGTAGGCTTGATTTAGCTCAAGGCGACGGACGATCGGAGATAATTAATAGGATAGACAATTGCGATGACGAGTGACACGGAGAGCTCCGACGCGGAGAGCTCTGACGCGGAGAGCTCCGATTATGAGAGCTCCGACTACGAGATAAATCTGGAAGATGAGAAGCTCACACCCGAGTTGGGGCGAATAATCCTCGGTTTTCGCGGATTAGATACTAAGGAGAGTTTGATAGAGAAACACTGGGAGCGGGGGATGGACTTAAAGTCGCCGCGCTCTGATAAACAATGGAGGGACACGATCAACAGATTGGTTAGGCGGTTCGAAAGGGCCCTTTACAGATTTGACGATGAAATGGAACGGTGGCTTAGAGAGATGGCCCCAGCGTTTGGTCCCCGTAAGGAGAAACCATCGGAGGAGATGGGGACGCAGAACGATGGTGGGCCCGATCGAGAAATTAGAAGGGGCTTCGCGTCGATAGGCGTTCAAACGGAGGTGGAACTTAGGGAGGTTAGGTTAAGGCTGTTGTCCGATTTGGACTAAGAGTGGATCCTGGTAGAGGACCTTGTGAAA